CCCCAAAACCCCAAAACCCCAAAACCCCAAAACCCCGTCTTTGATTTATCAGCTTATTTAGGTTAAAATAATTTATAATCATAACTTGTTCAGAAATAAATTTTATTAGCATCAGCTTCAATTATAATAAATCTGAATATTTTAGCAATTAAGCTTTTACACAATAGCCTGACTAATTAAAGTTTAAGTGTTCAAATCGAGGAAGCTCCTGCATCTATGTAAGAATCTAGGTCTTCTCCTTCTTTAGTGACAAGAACGAGCAGGCATTCTTTTGGATACTTATCTGGCGTAATTGTACAATCGCATTTAATATCGTCATTGCCTGTTGAAGAATTCTTTGTGATTGAGCATTTGTCATTTCCGGCAGAGTATTTAAATTTGTAACCTGGCTTAGTTGAAACATAAATACTTGCATAGTAGATAATCATTTCATCTAATGTTCCCAAGAATTAAGCAATAGCTTATCTATTCCCACTGACCGTTGATGATTTAGTTCCTGAGAGGAATTAGCCATTATCTCCGTTTTCAATTGGTAAAGATTTTGAATTTCTAATCTTGACTATATCTTAATCAAGATTTCCGGTAAGTTCATAAGCTGGTCCTGATTACTTAATATCTGGAAGTGGCTTTAATGGCTTTGGAGCTTGCTTTACTGAAGCTTTTAAGCCTTTGCTACCAAAATCATGGCCAGTAAGTCTGCTTGTTTTACCATTAGAATCTTTAATTTCAATGTCTCTAGGAGCATTTATGATAATTCCATAATCTTTTACATCATCATCTTTCCACTTAGGAGAGAATTTCAAAGTGTAGGATCCAGTAGCTAATGGAGTATTAACTAAGTTGATTGAATTTAGCTTCTCCTCTTCATACTCAATAGATGAAATAGTTTTGCCTGAAGCATCCACAAGTTCGAGTTTCAATTCAGTTGAATCAGGCTTACAAGAAATTGGATACATTCTTCTTTCATATGTTATTACTCTAATGTACATTGGAGTTGCTTGTTTAAGGGTAAACTTATAGATAGCTGGAGAATTTGCATTTGCTACTTAATCGTTTCTTTTATCATACCATGAAGTAACAAAGTTATCATAGTATTCACCAACATTAAAAGCAGAAAAAGCAGACATTACTTCGGCATCTGTCATATAGTAAACACCATCATCAGCAATAACTCTTTTTGCTTGCTAAGCATAGGTTTTTCCTCCTAGACCAACAGTTTCCCATATAGGAGAGCTGTCAGCGAATGAACCTGAGAAACCTGAGTCTTATTTCCATGGGTTCCTTATCTTTATTAAGTTGAATGACTGACTTTTATCCTTATTATATACTGTGACTGTAGAGAGTAGTGAATATGCATGAGTGCAAGGTAGATTAAATTCGCAATAATCCTTATCTCCACCAGGTGATGCTGGAGTATTGATAGACATAATCCAGTTTTTAGCATCAGCTTGGCTAAGTATAGTCCACATGCTAGCTGTATTAACATCGCTCATAAGGTATAGCATATTAGGCATGTTGGTTAAGAATGTGTATGCTTCATTTGGATACCCACCAATAGTCATTTCATAGTTAACATTAGTTTTGGCCCAAGCTTTTTCAAGAAGTGGACCCCAAATGGAATTGTCACTACCGATTCCTGCAAATATTGGCTTTTTACCGTAAATTCCAGTTGGTATTGAATCGTCAACAACTAGAACATGAGGGATTCCTCGAATGAATACATTGAAAGCATAAAGCCCAGCCCAGTTTATTTATGGATTAACGATTGCTTTTTCAAATCTTGAATTGATTTCTGCTACTGCTGAAATTCCAGATAAAAAGTAGCAGTCTCCTAATACACCTTGGGAAACATCATTCAAGAAATCTTCTGTTCCATACAGTGTACATTTAGGGCAGAGATTGTTTAATCTCTCCCATTTGTTGCTAACGAATTCTTTCAATCTGTTATCGGTGAATCTAGTTCCTTACCATGAGATTGATGATCCATCTGCTGGAAAACTAGAATCGTTCCAGAAGTTTGAATAAGATGAGACAATTTTCTTATAGTCTGGAAGAGGGGCTTTTACTCTGTCAATAGCAGTAGAGCATGAATAAGCCTTCTGTTTTGTTTAAGGCAAGGTTCTAATGAACCTTTGTATGCCGCTCTATGATGCTGCAGCTAAGGACACTCCAAACGCTAAGAGGATGGTGGCTTCAAATTATCTCATTTGTTTCTTAATTTTAAATTTAAATTTGAATTAAAAAGATTCTTAAATACATCCCTATCTCTAAAAAATTAAACTAGATTGATTTAGTTCAAATTATATTGGCTTAATTTAAATTATTATCATTTATGCCTACAATTTCTAGTCAATTATTAATCAAATGGGGTTTTGGGGTTTTGGGG